GTATAAAAATGATGACTCATTACTGTATTAAAAAGTAGCATTATGATCACAGGATTCATAGAAAAGAACATTTTGATTCTGGGTTTTTTTTTCCATTATACCAGTTAAAATTATCAGAGGGGAGGGAAAAGATCCACTGTTACAGGCAAGTAGTACAAGTTGGACTTGTTACATCTGAATATTTAGTCATCTAATACAAATTAGTCTTTTCAGTGATTAATTCCATTACTGTATCATTGAAAAAACACCTAAAGAAATCAATTTCATTTCAATGAATTATCTGCTTATAATCTAGGCAGTGCTTTGAATGGAAGTAGCACTAAATTTTCTATAGTGGATGACTATGAAGAAGTATTGCCCTTCGATGTACTTGACATGTAAACATCTGAAATGTCCTCATCATCATTTAATTCTTAGGTTTTGCTATCGACAGAATAATCAGAATAAATTACAGTGTCAGTCTTAGTATTCCAAGACTTGTGTTTCAGAATCAGTATCTGAAATATTTTTCATGATTTCTGCTATTTCCACTTAAGTTAAAAATTTTCAACATTTTGACATTGTAATGCTCAAACAGAAATACTTCATATTCACTAAGTATAATTAATTCTTGATTAGAAACTGGATTGTGAATCCAAACACCCACTGATCTAGCAGGGAAAAAAAGAAAAACTTATCAATCATCAATAAATACCAGGTGCATATTTAGAGAGTCATCAAGAAGCCTGCAAAGCAAGAATATTCCTTTTGCTTTTGTTTATGTAATCAAAAATCAGGTGCATGTGAATGAGCTTTGTTACATTTTGAGTAGATGGACAAATCTTCATGTGTCTAAAATCTTATGCCATCTTGGGCCAAAAATATTAGTGTCCAAAACTGAGACCAGTGGCCGAACTTTGTTTGCATAATGTACAAATTCCTATAGAAAAGTAGGTGAAATTCCTAGGTGTGCTGTTTGACCACAAGCTTACTTTCTTTCCCCATGCCATCTGTCTAAAGGAGAAATGTTTTAAAATTATTAATATTCTGAAAGTTTTTTCAAATACCTCTTCGGGAGCCGAGCCTCAGCTCAGTGTTTCTTATTTATCGATTTCCGATATGCTCAAGACTTGACTATGAATCACTTATTTATGGGTTGGCAAGGTCATTGTGCTGACCAAGCATGATCCTGTACATCACCATGCACTGGTGCGTTTAGAACATCTCCAGTGTAAAACGTGTGTGGAATGTTATAAGATTCCTAGCATTTAAGGCATAGTATCTTTGTCTCAAGCTGTAGTTTAAAATCACGTTGCACAGCAAGAATCCTGTCTGTTCGCATTTACTGAATGATTCATGTTATCGTTTGTATCAGGCACATCCATTGTGAATACCATCTTTGATATAAGAGTAGGCACCGGGTTTTCATCCGCAGAGAACCCGTTGGCGCCGTTGCATTTTTACTCGCCAAGCTCGTGGTCCATCGATGATGAGCCGAGTCGTAAACGTGATTTTTGGTGCATGTAAATTCAAGTTAGAAACCAAAACAATATATTACGCATATGGTAATAAAAATTCACAGATAATAAGGATGTAGATGTAAACTAACCGGTTGTTTAAACGTGATATACGAAATTAAATTTTTATTAAATTCAAGTAGCACAGAAGGGATATATTAAGCATAAGACAATATAAGCATTTATAATGGAAATAAAAGTTATTTTAAAAATAAATTAGTATTAATGGACTGAAATTAACGTGATAAACGAAAAAAATTTGTCTTAAATTCCAGTTAAACACAGAAAACATATATTCCTTACATCAGCAGTGGTTTGCTAATTTGATTGACCATGGAGATGCATCAAACTATTCTGTGATCTTAGATAATCAAATAATATTCTTTATTTCAATTTAATTATCTATTTATGTCACACCTGCCATCCTCTGAAAGGTTATTGTTAGAAAAGCATTAACAATATTATCTTGTTAAAATTTTACGCCATCAAAATTGATTATTCTCATAATTTAGATGACAATAACTAATAATAAAAATAAAAGCATTACTTAATTATTTAAATGCACATGCACATTTTTGCGGCCTACGGAAGCAAATTATTTTAGAAGATGGAAACCTCATGGTTCTTAGAGCTGTAATAATTAAGAACACAACGTGAACACCGTGTTACAAATTAGCTTTCACCCCATTTTCTTCCTTTCTCCCGAACCAAGAACGGCATCTATCTACGAAAATTTCTATCTATCGTTGTTAAAAAATTCAGAAAAAATAATAATAAATAGAGAAGAATAATATAAATCTGCAAATGGGGAACAACGACAGTGATAATTCAACAAAATGAACGCAAGAGAAATGGTTGCAAACTTCGAACAAGCGAAAAGGATAAATCCGCTGGGTACTAGGTTTGAACTATTATCGCCAAAGTTGGCAATGTTTACATTTACCGGGTTCTCTGCGGAAGTGCTTCCTAGGCACCTTGCTAGAAGAGTAAAATATATCTGATATCAATATATAGTAGAAAACTCATTTGAAATTCTACCATAGGGAGGATTGGAAATTCAGCTTCTTGATACATTCTAGCATTGGGATAAATCTAACACCAGTGTTAACATTTACAGGCAGATCTTTTGTGAAGCATAGGTGTAAATATAAAAATTATATTCTTCTCTATACAGATAGTTCAAAATCCCGAGATCATACTGTGTGCTTTTTTAGTCAAAGAAACAATTTTTGGCTTTTGATTATATGCAGCATGCTCAGCATACGTTATACCCACCATATATTTTTCATTTCTGAACTACAATGTGCAGCCTTCAGGTTCCACTTGTAAATATTAGGGCATTGATCAAACATCAGATTTTTAATAAATGGCAGATGCATTGGAATCATCAAGCAGACAATAAATTGAGACGTGTTATCCACTATAGAGTGCTGACTGTCTGTGCTGAATAGAAGTACTTTTAACTCATTTGATAATTGGTGACTATCGACTGAGTCACGAGCATCTTCATGAAAGGCTAGAGATTCTTTTTGTGTAAATTGCCCTGAAATTCTGATATTTGGTCATATTTTACTGTAATGCCATTCTTAAAATATTTTTGTCTAAAACATTTTAATTGTTTCAATCTGGATTTAGAAGATGTAATAGAAAGACAACCTCATTTATAAATTGTTCTAGTTTTTTAAAAGATACTGGCTTTTTTTACCATAAATTGTAATTTCCCCCCCTCTTTTTTCATAAAGCTCAAGCTGTATTAGCTGCACACATGTAGTATTTTAACATATATTTTAATCTGTACTTTAAAAATACATTTTAATCTGTGCATTTCCTTAGTTGTTAATCTGTCATAATTTTTCTCAACCATTTGTGATGGTCGCTTTCCACATTTCTGTCAATGTTAGTCTTATTTTTCTGGTCTGTGGCATAGTCTGTGGTGATTGTTTCATTTTTGCTTAGTTTCTATTTCACGTGTCATCTTCTAAATTATCCTACCATTTTGTTCTGGATTCCTCATTACTTCTTGGATTACTGAATTCCTGGAAACCAATGGTTTGGGGCAGATAATTTCATTAGATTTTGTACCAGAAATAGCAGTACAAACTGAGATGAGTGTTTTATGGATGGAGATGAATGAGAAGATGCTGTGTCACGTGGGCATGTCAACCAGGGCATGCATATAATTCATGCTGGCACATTTGCATGACAGTAGGTCTGAAAGAGTTAACTACATTGAGAATATTTGTGGGATCAGATGGTAATACGTATGTACACCTGGATTCACCTAAATATGTCTTAATTTTGGTTTTATCAGTTTCAGTCCATCCAAATTTATTTTCATTATTCAAATTTCATTACTAGGAAAATAATATACATGTTAGCACCTCCTGAAATTTCACAATCACTAGAGAAATTATCTAAAATATAACAGGAATTGTATTGTTTCTGTCACTATGAGAATTGTGCAAAACCATTCGTAATAGGTAGAAATGCAAAATAAAATGTAACTTGTTAAATTATTGAGAATAGTGTTCCACTGTTGTCTGTCATATAAGTAAGATTTCAGTGTTTTGGTTTCAAAGATATTCTTTTTTGCTCCACCTTTAAATGAGATTTCGATCTCTAGTTTTCAAAGTCTGTTCTTTTCTGGACTTTGGTCACCATCTCCTCCTTTGAGAGTTTGTTTCCTGGACTATGATTATAAATCTCCTGTCTGCAAAGTGTTGAGAACAGAAAATATTTGATATCATGTTGGTAATAAGAACAGGATGTAAGCTGATTTAAATTTAGTTTTCCTGTAATCTGAGAATGCATGTAAAGTTTCACAGTGCCATTTTTTTTTCCATAATTAGGGGCATTAGCCCCAAATATTCATTGAAAGATAGAACCAAGTGTGTCTGAGCTGATACTTTTCAGCAGTATTGTATTTCAACATTGTTATATTTTAGCAGACCTTGTTGCTTTGCTTGTATTTTGAAACTTGCTATTTTAGAAATGTTGGTTAATTCTTTTATTATTATTAATTGATACTTGCATTACAGATAAGTGAAACCAAAGATTATGAATGAGCAGATATGGGGGGGACAAAGGGTCTTGTTTTTCATTGACTGGCAGTTAACATCTTAATTTAGAATAGAATTCAGATTAATGAATATAACAATTAAGTAATAAACAACAAAATAGTAATAAACACTTTGAAGCTTATCTGGATAGCATCTTTTTAAAGAAAGATACAGAATGACTTCTGTTTCTGTGAATTATTTATTGAGAGCAGATCGCATAGTGTCAAAAGTTTGAGGTTCATAAATTATGAAAAATTAATGCCTGCAAATTTGCAGATTTTAAGAACTTTGTATGAAGATGTACTGTAAAAAATAGAAATTTTAGTGTGAATAGAAATTTTGTTCTTGGATGTTATTTGTTATTAAAACTTGTTTTTTTATTGAATTCTTTTAAGTTTTTATTTATCGTTCTTGTTGCTTTTTGAAATTTTGAGATATCTTTTTTCTATTTCAGGGAAAAATTTTATTTACCCTACAGATAGCGGTCCTGGTATGTCATGTATCTGTGATATGTATGAATTGCTGCTGCCTGATTTGGAAGCTACATGAATCTAAACTGATAATGCTTTCAATATGTCTAAAATCTTAAATATGTTTACAAATGTGTGATAAGGCTTACAGTACTCTTCCACCACTGAAAATATGTATGTGATTTTGAGACCAGGCACAGGAGTGAAGCTGTGTTAATTAGAGGTGCCTGTTTAACTGAGAGGAGGAGATATGGCCAGAAAATCTGAAACTCAGCGCACTTTCAACATAGCAGTTGTGGGATTATCTGGAACAGAGAAAGAAAAAGGAAGCACTGGAGTGGGTAAATCCTGCCTTTGTAATCGCTTCATTCGATCATTGGCTGATGATTATTACACAGACCACATATCTGTTTTGAGCCAGACAGATTTCAGTGGTAGAGTTGTTAACAATGATCATTTTTTGTATTGGGGGGAAGTTTCAAAACTCTCAGAAGAAGGAGTTGATTTTAATTTTCATGTAATTGAACAGACCGAATTCATTGATGATTCCTCATTCCAACCATTCAAGAGCGGTAAAACAGATCCTTATTACAAGAGATGTTCTGCAACTAAGTTAACATCAGCAGAAAAGCTCATGTATATTTGCAAAAATCAATTAGGTATGTAAAATTTTAATATAATTGAATATTTCTTTTATTATGTATATTTCTGTGTCAGAATGCTTTATCATTGGTGTTGGAATACATGAGGAAATATCATTTATGTTAGAATACATAAAAAACTAAAAAAATTGTAGTTAGAAGTTTTTTTCCCTTATGAAATCTGAAAATGTAATAATATTTAATATTCTTTTAGCTATTTGGTGAAGGTATATAAATATGAAAAAAAAAGGGGGGATGCTTTTTGATATCTAAATTCCATCTGCTTACTCTTTTAAGTTTGATAAGAAATTTTTTTTTTAGTCTGCTGTAGAATAAAATTTTTTGTTTAGTTTGCAGTAGATATTTATTGAGAAATGATCCTAAGTCATAAATATATTTTAAGTAATTCCCTTCAGTTACCAAATATTTCTATATATAATCAAGAATTTTTAGCAAATTTTCTGCTACTGAAGTTCTATGCACATAGTCTTGCATATGATTTCAAAATGATTTACAAATAATTTGAGTATGGAAGTATTATACGTTAAGTAATTAAAAAATATTTTTATTTTACGTTATTGTGAGTATATTAGTCAAATTTCTTTATCAGTGTCCAGCCCTGAATTTCAAGTAATTTGCTGATATCTTTACTTCTAGGTGAATGTTATCTTCCAGTTAATGTCTTAATGTTGTAATCATCAGCCTCGTATATACCTTCTTCCTTCCATAATATTACTGAACTTAAGTCACAGTTTTTAGTTTGACACTAGCAGAATGTGCAGTTCTTTGTCAAAAATAATTAACTCCTCCCCGGGCATGTTTTACTAAATAACGGAAAGTAAAAAAACGTATTTTAACTCCTAAAAGTTAGATCATGACTGATGATAAAAATCTTCTGACTTCTTGAGAAGTGTTTACCACAGCTAAGATCAAGTTAAAATTCACTGCATTTTTGCCATTGGTATCAAAAAGCACCAAAAGTTGAGAGAATCGAGAAACTGTCAACAGCACTTTTCATTCTTTTTTAAACAGTGTCATCCCTGTTTTTCAAATGGAAGTTAAAAGTGAATTGACATTTACGTTGGTAGGCCTAAGGAATTTAAGTTAGATAGTAAGTTATTTGCAGAAGTATTCAATAATTGATCATCATTTTGATATTTATTACTGTCTAAAATTATTTCATAAAAATGTGTTCACTTACTAGTAAGTGCTTTATTAATTTGTTGTTATTGAAACTAATTTTTTTTTTCTGTCATAAAACTTTTGAAAGTGCCTACTATCTAGTGTTTGACATGTAAGGTAAAAAATTAATTCTTTTACCAAAGCCGCACAGCATATTTGATGCTTGTTGATGATAGACACGTTTTAAGAAATGAATCAAATAAAGTAGGCTTTCAGATTGCAACATTTTGGTTGTGAGTTATTTATTTATAAAAAGGCGTGAAATTTATTTATGTGGTCTTTTGAAAAGCAGCGTAAATTATTCATTATCTATAAAATTTAAAACAGAAAGAAAAGTTTTGTAAAATTTAGAAACAACCCTAAAAATATTCTCATAGACAGATATACCTGAAGAATCTGTTGTGGTTACTAAGTAGTAAGATATATATAATTTTTGAATCTGCAGTGAAGGTACAAATAACTGAGCATAAAAAAATCTCTCTGTAAATTCTCTGCCAACTTTCTCATCAATAAAAATAGCACACATTTGGTTAAATGCTGCTTCTAACTTCCACACTTGGTAACAAGGCCAAAATCCTGCCTTAAAAGCAACCTCAAAATTAGAGAAGCATTTGAAATTGTAACCAACCTCTGTGGCAAAAAAGACATTCCCTTCAGCATGCCATACTTCTAGACATTGATTCTGAGTATAATGTAGCAGAAAGCGATAAAAGAAGACGAACTTGATCAAATCATCCATTCCAGCTCCAGCTGGTGAGCCATGTATTGTTGTCTGCAAAAGTTGCCGCTTTTACGAATTTTAAAACACGGTAACAGCATATCAATCTAAAATGTGTTATGTCGTTTTTAACTTCATTATAAATGCGTGCGCCAGTTAATTCTTTAACAGTACCTGATTAATTCCTTAAAATGGAGCCATGGATCTATGGCAATATTTCAGTATGCTTATATTGAAATTATTATTAAATATACAAGCTATAGGATAAATAATATATATTTTTTGTGCACATAATTGAGATACTTTAGAATTTTAGTTTTACATTGGCTTTCTTCACTATATTCCCAACTACCCCCCTCAATGAGGCATATGTGAAAATTATACTTGTATTTTTAAATGATTACAAAATTTATAAATTCTTCATAAAAATATGAAAAGATTTTTGGGGAAAATTTAAATAGTGACACATAACATTTTTTTATTACATGATGACATTGAGAAACAATAAAAAATTTAAAATTCTTCATAGAAATGTGAAAAGATTTCTTGAGAAAGTTTAAATAGTGACACGTAACACTTTTTTGTTTCATGATGACATTGAGGAATGATAAAAAATGTTTGCATCTATCTTCTTTTCCTATTTACAAAATAAAAATTATCAGTCATTGTTGACTAGTTAATGGTCATATAACTGGTATCCAAAGCCTAAAGTGTGCTATTACTTGTATGTGAAAGAATTTTCGTAAGCTCAGCCAGATGTGACTATAATTGTGTCATGAATTCAACAATAGTTATTATATGGCGAATTCACAAGAATTTTATATAAATTTTAATAAAAGTTTTTGTAAATGGTAAATTTCTAAAGGGCATATTTTGGGAGGATTTGTATATTAGGTATTTTGCTTTTTTTTAAATTTTTTTTTAATATATTTGAAAAGGCAAAATGTACGTATTCATGTTTCAAATCCTTGAACAAGGCTTTTTATCAAGAATTCCTTCCAATATATTATTCTAGGAATCTTTTGGGCTTCCTGAGCTCAGTCTGCTGTTAACATGTCATGCGTCTTTTTAGAGCATTTTCCACAAATATAAAAAAAAGTTCTTGCTGTAAGTTTCATGGGTGGACAGTTTTATTTCCACAGACGTTCATTCCCTCATTTAAACAAAGCAGCATATAGTTGTGAAAAAATAATTTCCATTCTGTAATTTTAATGTATTTGCAATCTGGTGGGTTTTGCAAAGCAGTTAACCATATCTATGGAAAGAGACATATCAGAGTATTTGCACCTGGTGCATCAATGCAACTCTTACAGTTTTGTGGTATGTTTTGCATCAAGTAATCCTAGGAAGTTTCAAGCACTATGTATGTATGTTTGCAGGTTGCACCTGCAAGTATGCTGGCCCTGTGATACAATTATTATCCTCATTTGCTAAAAGTGTCTGCATTGATTTTGTATAATGAACTATTGCACTGTCATCCACGAATACTTTTTCACTTGCAACATCACTGTGGAATTATTTAATGGTGTCAAAGGGGAAAAAATGCCATCTTGATGCCTTTCCATTTCTTTGGATATTTTAAAAAGAATTTCACTTGTGTTTTTATATGTCCCCCCCCAGAATGATTGAGAAGATTTGTCATTAAAACTTTGTAGATGCTCTGTATGTACATATATACATCTTCAAAACTTCAAAAAAATATTAATATGAAAAGTTACCACTACAAAATCTAATACACTTGTTGGTGATTCGCATAGTTGAAGCATGTGCAGTAGAAAGCCAGTATACTTGCAGATTTTTAGTTCTTGCTTTTTAGGTGTTATATGGTAAATCAAACCATGTGAAGAGGAAATTGGTACATTTAATGAACAGGATTTGTCAAAAGTTCTGAGCGTAAAAGAATAAATCTACAAATGTGAAGTTCTCGTCATGTTTCAAAGACATTCTTGGTAATTTTATTTGTGTAAGCATTATTGCAAAGATGGGAGAAGTCTTCATAATCACCAAACTTGCAGTATACTCGGGAAGTGTGCAAAGTGTTGTTTCCAAGCTTTCGATAATATTTTGGGTAATTGGGAGTATGTTCTAGAAACATCACAGTAAATTGCATAAGGATATTGATATTTAATTGCACTAACTCTTACCAGGAGGAGAGTATAAGAATGACATGCTGTGTCGGTATGGGCATGATGGTATAGCACTGTGCCATAATTAATGGGGCCAATGACTATTGACAGTTATTGAAATGTCTGATTGCAGGTAATCTACATTTTGGGTATTCTTGGGATTATCGCTAAGTTCTTTCAGTTATGGTAACCTGAGTTCAGTTATGGAAACTCTATCAGGATGTGATTGGTTGTAATGTGTGATCGCGGTGCTGAGTTTGATTTTGGGGAAAATATTTCTCAGGGCTTATTTCTGCGTTGGATATCGGTTAGGAAGTACGATGCTTATCTTGTGCTTTAAACCATAAAATGACTTACACATGATAAGATTAACCTGAAGTTGCCGTACAATTTGGCATGAATGGAAAAGAAAGCATTGATTGACTAGTGTGTATTGATGATATTTTTTATTCTTATTTTTGTGAATTTATGTGTCAGTGGCAGTATACAGATTCTAGTTCAGATAATTTTTAACAGTTTTTGAATGCTGTTAAGGAATTCTGTATGCTGCACACCAAAGACACAAATTTTTAAATACTGTAAAGGCCCTTATTTTCGCGAAAATGAGTATGTCGGTGATTTCGTGAGCTGAAAATTTTGCGAATTTTATATGAACAGAACCGAAAGTTGAAAAATTTCAAACCTAAATAAAGTTGAGAAAGTTGAAAAATTCCAAAAGTACATCTTTTGCATAAAGCATTTTAAGAAACTTACTTTTGTCCGAAAAGTTCATCCCCCCTCCCGTTCCCGTCTAAATGGCGAGTTCAAGTGTTTGCTCAAGAATAATTTTATTGAGTGGTATTCTAATGAGCTTCAATTTCTAGAGGAAATAGAATCTGTGGACTTGCGAATATCACGACTAAAAACCGATTCACGCTTCTTGGCTTGTGCGCCTATTTAACGTATTGAAGCCAAACATGAGGTAATTTTGAATGGCTTCAAAGAAGCTGGTATAAATAATATTCTAAATGAATGAGCTGCCTTCTATTAATTTTTATTGTTTTATATTCAAGAAATATAGTTGTATATTATTCAAAAAATAGTTGTAAGAAAGAAAGTTGTCAAGAAAAAGCTTGTAACTGTGCAATAATTAAATTTTGGGTAAGTGAAAAATTTATGATTTTTATTATTATTTGAGGCGGAAAAAAAAAGTATTTCGTGAGGCTTAAATTTTCGCAATTACAATGGGCTCTGTAAAGGGCCTTTACAGTAATGCAATTTGATATTTCCTTTTTGTACTGCACAGAGTAGTTAACATGTATTTCCATATATATGTTATTTGTTTTAATTATGTTTTGGACATCATTTTATTTGGGAGGGCATTGCACATAAACAGGAATAGCGTAAAAAAAATCGCCAATTTTCGCCCAGGGTGACCCTGAAATATAATTCTCCTGTGATTGCTTTGACAATGTTTTAGTTGTGTTTTATTGCATTATGTTTGGAACGCCATTTTATTTGGGAGGGCATTGCACGTAAACAGGAGTGGTGCCAAAAAAATTGCCAATTTTCGCCCAATGTGACCTTGAAATATATTTTTCCCGTGATTGCTGCGGCATTTGTAAGTGCTCAGCTATTTTTCACATGTGCTCCATTTCTGTGTATTAACTTTTCTGAAAAAAACTTGCTACCTGATCGCTATGTATTATTTTCAACAGGTATCGTACAGGTTAAATCATTGTGTATCATAAATACATTGTTATATTATTTGCAATTTATGAGAGGTTTTTCAATACTGATAAAAATATCCCTCATCCTTAAGTTTTATGTTTCCACATAAAAAATAAAGCAGCAATTAAAGAAAAGTAAATTTATTTTTCTTGATGCAAAAGATCAGCAAATATTAGTTTTGGATACCATTGTACATATTTACGTGTTACATTTTGAAGTAATGCAAACATGATCACGCAAAATGCTTTTTAAAAATTATTAACTAAATTTGCTTTAGTTAGCTTTAGTTAATATTGTTAAATGAATATGCTGTGCTGAACTGTAAAAGCAGAATTGTTTTCTTAATCCAATAAATTTAGGAAAGAATAAGAACTTTTAGTGTTTCATGTTATGAGATACAGCTTTTAATATGCTTTGTTGTTAGCCTCTAATTATAAAAATTACACTGTAATCTAATTATAAAAATTACACTGTAATCTAATTATAAAAATTACACTGTAATTCAATATATTTTTTATGTGGTTTGTTTATTTGAATCTAAAACTGGTTAAAAGTATTAATGGAATTGTAGTATTGTCATTTTATAGAAGTTGACCTTATGTTCATGTCTAAATTGACATAATTAAAAAAAATTTTGGTGTATGAGAACATTTTTAAAAAGTCAGCTCGTTAATGCTATTTTCATCTTCAGACTTTAAATGTTGAAAAAGTAACTTTACTGAATATTAGTGTATGAATCTTAGTTTTGTTTTGGAGTTACTAGGCACTTATGTTAATAGTTTATTGAAGAGTACAAGTACAGTGATGTTAACCATATTAATGTTTTCACAGGTATTGAAAAAGAGTATGAACAAAAACTACTACCGGATGGGAAAATAAATATAGATGGTTTTGTTTGTGTGTTTGATGTCAGTGAAGTTCAAGGAAGAAGTATAGAGAAACAAGTGGAATTTACTGCATTAATTCTTGAATAATCTATTAAAAACCAAGAAGCCAATAGTTCTTGCAACCACAAAAAATGATGAAGCTAAGGAAATGTATGTAAAAGAAGCAGAACGCTTAGTAAGTAGGAAGGAATTTAAAAATAACATTCCAATAGTGGAAACATCAGCACATGAGAATGTGAACGTAGATTTGACTTTTATAATTACGGCACAGATGATAGATCGGACTAAAGGAAAAGCTAAGCTGGTGCCCTTCTTAGAATCTGCTAGGTCACGGAAAGAAGTCTTAGACTTTTGTACTGAAGCATACCAATCACTTATACGTGCCCAAGTAACTGATTATAGAGCATTGTGGAGTTCAGTAAGTAAAAAATTTGCTCAGAACCAGGATTTCATTCATTATTGTGAACTTTTTGGCCATGATGCAGCCCAAAAGATGTTCAGAAGGCATGTTAAAAAACTGAAAGAAGAATATATAGGTCGAAAAATGCAAATGTATATTAGGATATTACCTGAAGTACTTAGTGAATTACTACCAGACCTTGCAAGCATTGGAGATGGGTAAGTAGTTCAATCAGTATTTCTTGCTTTATGACCTTGTTTTATAAAAGTTCATAACATAAAAGTTCTTACAGGTTTTTGACCTCTGCAGAGAGATTCTTAAAAAATGCAAATTTAGTTTTTTTTTAATATTCAGAATTTTAAAAAACTAAACTTCTATTATACATTATCCCTCAAGTAATTTTTAAGTAGGTTTCACAGAAATAAAAATATCAGTAAGCTGTTAATTCAGTCAACTGTATATCCCCCATCTGATTCAATGACATTCTTTCAATGCAGTAATAGGTTATTTTTTGCCATTCCAAAAGAAAGTCAGTTAGAACTTATTGACGAAAAATTATTGAAAGTCTGTTTCAAGTACCTCATGGAAATAGTATTCTTATCCATCAGTGAAATTTTCTAAGCTTCAAACCACCAACCAGTCTGTGAACAGTTCAGAAAAGGAAAAATTTTCCCACATGAATGAAGAACAATGCGGATGTTCATACATTCTTTTGGATTAGTGGCAATAAGTTCATGCAGAACCCACTTGCCATGCTTATAATTCCAAATTCTTTCTACTAGCGAGGGACCGCTAATGATTATGAATTAACATCTTTTGCCAACTCTTCATAGCATATGGATTTCTTTCAGTTACAGCTTTAGCACATCATCATAAAAAAAGACAGTACCTACAGCAGCTGGCGTCTTCCAAGCTAGGTCATATTATTAAGGTTTATCAAACCATGTTTGGCACTTCCAAATATTCAGAGCACCTTTACCATACACGTCCCCCCCCACACATTTTTTACACTATTTCCGACACTATTACTCTTTTTACAATCTTAAGCAGAACATGCCAGATATGAAGCTCTGTAACTGCCATTTTCATAATAGACTATGAAAGCAAGAAATTAGCATCTACAGCTTGCAAGTCAGAATTGAGTTGAATGTAGCTGTCTTTGCTGAGTGGTATTTATATGTCTGAGAGAATAATCTGTTTAAAATATTTTAGTAAGTTATGTCCGAAAACCATTACTTAAAGGATGACCTCATATAATAGCTCTAAGTATGTCATAAAATAGTATTGGAATAAAACTATTTGATATTGGTTGATGGTTTTGTACATAAAAATTGTAAAGAATTTTATATACTTTTGCTAAAATGTCTGCTGCTACAAGATATCAAAAAATAAATATTAGTTTTACCCATCTTTTATTATAAAGTTCTTAACAGGATAACTTTCAATTATAATTATTTTCAATTACAGTAGAAGTCCAGAAATCCGCAACGCTTGGGACCAGAGGTTGTGCGGATTTTTGGATTTGGGGGAATTCAGAATAGAAAAGATAATACAGTCAAAAGTCGTTAATTCGGACACCCATAATCCGGAATGATCTATAATCCGGACCTCAAAGCTAAAAACTTTTTGCGCATGCGCCGTGTTGACACATGCGCATAGGCGTTCACGTGTGCACGTAAGACCTTTTACGTCTGTGCATATGCGTGTGTGCAAGTGCAGAATACGTTTTTGCGTGCATGTTTTATTTATAACAGACGGTATAAGCTAAAATTATCTAATTATCTATTTCAGTTAATGTTGATGATTGCGTTGTTCCTTAATTTTTGAATTGGATCCGGCTTATTATTTTTTGCAGACTGTAAGAGCAATACTATAAAAGTAAACGTGAACTTTCGATTATGTCAAAAAGAATTTCCCATTCTGGAGCTCCCAAAGGATCGTACAAAACGAAAGTATGTTTCGATGTCCATCAAACAAAAAGTGGAATTGCTGCAAAAAATGGATAAAGACATGAAGAATGTCACAGAGAGGTTAGTGAAAATGAAAAAATTTCGATTGACAAGTTAGTCGGCATTCTCGGCACAGCAATTAACGGGACTTGAACAGCGGAACTTTGTAACTGAACAAGAAATTATATCTGTTTATAGAAATAAAGAGAAAGTATTATCACACAAAACGAAGCAACTTAAACAACTTACATTGAAAGAAATGTTTAATAAAGTAAACAAATAAATATTAAGCTTTTTCTTTTTGTAAATTTTGATACCCTTTAGATCATAATAGTTCTTTATTTCATAAATTACGGTTTCATATTTTTAATTTTGTAACTTCTGCATGCCATCTTACCAGATTTAAACTGATGATCTATAATCCGGAATCGCCGAAGTCCCGACGAGACCGGATTAACGACTTTTGACTGTATTCCAACTAAAAGTACAAAATAAAGAAGGCGTATTAGATACATTTAATTAAATTGCTATATATGTTAATACAATAATTAAATATATGCATTAAATTATTATAACTGATTATATTGTCCATTTACATTAGGCTCCTCTATTTTTAAATGAGCATGAATATGCTTCGCCTTTTCTCTCAGGAGTAGTCCTGAAATAGGCATCACTCCACCGCTGCCAGAACCACTCATACAAAACAGCATCGAGGTTTGCCGATTTCGCCTCATGTAAAGATTTTCATTGTTAGAATCACTGTTGCTGTAAAATTTCAACAGCTTTTCTTTTATTGTTCCGTATATCATACACAGTCCATGTGGCAATTCCATATGTTTGTGGGATAAACCGAGCAGTAACACCTGCCTCCATCTTTAGCAGAATTTCCACTTTTTTCATTACCATCAATGCAACGTGTTTACATTTTTCAACGTTGCAAGCAGTAAAATCAGGAGTGCATTTCTTATCTGTCATTGTCTTAAAAAGCACTGAAATTTAAAATATTCTTAATATATCCACAAAATATCAGGATTTAAAAAAAAAACGACATTACTAAACAATCTCTTGAAATAACAAAGCTCAGAAAGTACAACAACATGAAGCGAACTTGAAAGAAGAGTTGAATTAATCATCTGCTTTTTTACCTCAATGCAAATTGGAGAGAAAAACACTCTTGTCAATAATTTGGTATTTCCATTATGACTCATTATTATTTGGTAATTATGACGTCATTATCCAGTACGTTATTTTTCTTCGATATTTCGTACTCCATGTTGCGGTTTCTGGCACCTATAAACTAAATGTTTATATTTTGAGAGGCAATGCGGATTTCAGGTCAACAGATTTTCGGTATTTGACTGTATCAATATAACTTTTTAAGGTTAGTTGTTATTGTAACAGCTATGGCCAAAATATAAAAACATTTTTTACGAATTTAAAAATAATGGCTGTTTAGTGTTTTAATTTCATTGTTAATGTGAATTATTTGGAAAAATCATCACTGATTTTTGTCTTTTTCTATTTCATAATGTTTTTCCCTGAACTATCTCAAAAATGCATTAGACAAACAGAAACTCTTTGAGAACAAAAAGCTATTTAAAACAAATACTTTAAATTCCATATTAATGATTAGTTACAAAACCTTTAAGAGCTGCTTTAATTTTGTGCGGCAGAGACTTTGCTAATTTTTGGACATTTTTCAACAAAATATCTTGTATCTATCACTATTTCCAGATCTCCTTCATATCTAATAGTTGATAGTGTTTTATTTTTTGTTCATGGTGCATGTTCTTGAATGGAATTGAGGCATGTTGACTGAAAGGACCATAGCAGAGCATTGGTCCTGCTTCGTTTGAACCACTATGCTGCGTTTCAAATCATTGTCTTTTGGATAAGCATCATTTCAGTGCCATCTTCTCTTCTTCGTGTAATCATACTGTGTTCTGTAAAATATCCGTGTGTTCTTTTGTCATGATAATAAATTGGGCCTGAGCCATACCACAAAAAATAACCCCATAAGACTGCCACCTCAAACCTTTAAGATATTTCATAATACATTTTTAACTATATGCCTGATATTAAGCTTAGCAAATTCTTTCATATCCATTCAATACAATTTATTTTTTATTTTATTACTCTGGAGTACATTTCTACACTTTTTTTTTCATTTTAGCCCTAAGGGGCAATTTGCCCAGAAGGGCTATTAATCTCATTTTGGCATTTTGCATCAGTTTACTATAAATGTTGGTTTACTTTTAAAATACTAGACCCCTGCATTATATTTAAAGAAGTTAAATAATGAAGAATCTGCATGAGTGTGTGTATGTTTCTTGCACTGTGAAAAGACAACAGTATCTAGAGACATCAAATTTTGAATAACGTAGTCCTCCATTCGAATATGGGCATCTAGAATCCAAAATTTGCAAATTTGGAATTTTTTAAATTATCTATTTCATATTTTGTTAACAATTCAAATGCCTTTTTATTAACAAACTTGATGATTTCAAAGCGAGCAATGGCAACACTGTATGGGTAAGAAAAGAAACATTTTTATCTCCAGCACATGAGAGTGTGTATCGAAAATTGTATAGATATGCTTTTTTAAATATTTTGTAATAGTACTCTTGAATTGAATTTTATGGTTTAAGTTTGAAGAACATGATATTTAATAATTAAAGATAACACATGAAACGTTAAAAAATGCCCCTTTGTGTACAATATAAAATGTGAAAGCCTTCATTTATTTTTTAAGGTTGTTTTCAACATGGTACTATTTTGCAAAATGTGTGTGTTTTTAAGCATGTATTTTCTTTAAACATGAATTTTAAGAATACACCTTGTGTACCAAATTTTTCTGTCACTTACATGAAGACCAGTTTCATTTTGAAGCTGTTCAGTGGAGAAAAATGGTTTTTCTCTTGATTTTCGGAGAAGCATTTTTTTTTTCTTGAAGTTATTTCAAAGTGTCTTCTATTTTTAAGGTGTGTTTTTTGTGTGTGTTTCTCTGAAAACTTTGAAAAGTATCCTACTGAATTGGCTATTTTTCTGATGGGTAATGCATTGCTAATGCATTGCATCATTAAATTAATCTGTAACTCTCCAATATTGCAGTGTTCTCTGGTACCAGTTTTTCTCATATATTTTCATACAATAAAAAGAGGCATTTAGTGTGACATTTCTGAGCTGCAAAGGAAAAATTTTAATAAATCATATTTTCTAGTAATTTTTAAAGCATGAATATTATTTCCTTTTTAAGTTCCTCTTTTTTT